GTGTAATAAAAACATATCTGAAAAAATCCAAACCTGAAAGGCAATGTTACATATTATGTCCACCCATTCTCCACAGCTTTCTTTCTCTGCTGCAAACACAAGCTTCTTGTCCTCTGTCTCCACACAGAAAGCAGCCATGTTTTCCCCTGGACAAGCCTCTGCGTGAGGAGGCAGCTTGACGACAGTCACGCAGTCGGCCAGACGGACAACTTTCCTCTCTGGATGTCGTCTGACCACCACAGTTGACCGTTCATGAACGGCCTCTGATAATTCTAACCGTGCGACGCCGTGCCGACTAGCCGGATGAAGGGCCAACCAATATCGCTTCCACTTCTGTTGAGAACAAATAGAATATTATTACTTATATTTATTATTTTCCTTCATCCATGTTTCTGCAATACAACGACAGTGAGATATTTAATAAGGTCTAGTCCATTAGGTGGAATTTGTGCTTCAGGTAAGGAACATGCCTCCGGATTGCTAAATATTAGCATAAAAAAGTTCTTAAAAAGCACTTCACGCTGGAGGTATGGATGTAATAATTACTCACTCAGCCAATCCCTCATTTACCTCACATGTATTGTGTGTGTAAGGCAGGGCTTGAATCTAGTACTACGTGAAGTGCACTTTCATGAGGGCGTGTTTTTGTCAATGGAATGTGCTGTAATACAAAAAGCAAGGCAGAGATGTGCACACCAAGTTTCAACTTGTAGAGGCAGTCTCGTTCCATCTATCTCATAGCAGAATATAACCCTACACCAGAGAGTTCATGCCATGGCATGGTGAGTTATATTAAAAAAGTACAAGCAAATATCATCAGGCTTAAAATCATTGTATAGATTTTATATGACTGCCCTACTTTGTTTCTCCAATCTTTCTGAATGCTACAAACCATAATATCAATAATACGTGTAACATCATTGTAAACAGTTTCTGAACTATTTTAATAAAACTTTTATTTAGATCAGCTATGAACATTTTGTAGTTTTAGACTTGAGGTTGACAAACACAAAAAACATCTGCCTGTTTCCAATAGCAAAAAAATAAAAGACAACGCTCTAATGATGTCTTACCTCACCATGTTTCTGATGTTGTAGGTAAACTTCACCTTGTTTCCTGTGAGTGTCCATGTCTGCTTACTCTGACAGCTCAAAAAAGTGCTTTAACAAGTAGTGTATCCTTTCCCAGCACAATGTGTGACCTCCTTTAACTGTTAACACATATCACCAAGCCTATTACATGAGTTAGAGTATTGTACACTTAGACTCCACCTCTTAAAGAAAAAAAAAACAGCCACTGTTTGATATAGAGCAATGAATATTCATTTGATTTATGTCCGAATTGTAAATTTGAATGGTTTTCTTTCCTCAACATTTATGGCTCAGTTTGGCCTAATCACAATATATAAATAAACATCAAACAGCTGGATAATATGGCAATCTTCTAAAAAACTTTATCTCATGGCCAACTATATAAATATCCTGCTTTTTGGTTTTGGACTGTGCATCTTCACTTTATACTCCACCTAGGAATCACTCTCTGCGGTTGGACATTAAGTATAAATAAACATATTAAGATAAAAATATGATTTAGTTTTAAATCACTAATTAGAGTCACATGCCCATATTTAAACTACATACTTCAGAACAGCAGAGGGCTGTAAAACGGCAGTAAATTGTTTTCTATATTTTTGAGGGGATGAACTTCACTATTAATTTAGCAAAAGTAGATGGAGCAGTTTTTAATATTTAAGAAGCCTTGAAATTCCAAAGTATTTCCAAAGTTAGATTACTTGGGTAAACCAAATAGTGCTCTAAGCAAATACATAATAAAATGTAAAGAGTCATACAAAGAAAATGTATCTCCAAGTGGCTTTGGACTGATGTTTAGGCTGTCCAGTCAATGGAGTAACCACGAGACTAAAAAATTGGGCACTGTTTGCTAAACTGGTTATTTTGAGTAAGTATGTACTCTACATTTATTAACAAAATCTTGACAGTATTTTCATATGGTGACCAATTTTCATCATACAATATATTCTCCTCTGGGGTGCCTTTTAGCCTTACACCTTGGGTAAAATCTCATTTAAAAAAAGTTTATATTTGCACCATTTGTAATCAAAATGTATTTGCCCTAGAATATATTTTTAAAACAGTATCTTTACCCCACTAAATCTTCTTAAACTTCTCAATAACTGAATTGATGTGATCATGAGGTTATACAACTCGGATATGGACAATTATAGCGACACAATATATTGAAAATTAACATTTTAAAGCATTTAAAACATAGTACGTTTCTTTGGAAACCCTCCTTAAGCACATACAGAGCTAGCTGAAACATTTTGTACAGTCTCCAAACCTCATTTCAGAAGTACATGCACAGACTGGCACACAGACATAAACTCACAGCCTCACAGACAGACACAGTATTATCTTAGTGAGCAATAGTCTATGAACAGTCATTCACAAACATCTTTCTCACTATTACTTAATGAAGGATTAAATATATAAAACCTGTCATCATCCTCTGACATAATTCAACTGTTGAATGTCAGAGATTTAAGGTAGCAAGAAATAGCCACAACAGTGTGTCCAGACTCTTGCTCATCACTTCATCTTGATTGCTTTTCATATCTTCTGTTCCACAGATCTCTGGCCAAATTTATACTGTACCCTTGCCAGCTGTAAAGGAAATCTGGACACCTTTAATGCAAGGACAGTTAATATGGTAAAAGTTCTGCATACATCTAGAAAGAGTGCCAGAACAATACCTATGGGACAGGGTATCTTGGTAAAAAATCATGGTAAATGATCTTATGTTAAATCATTTTATAACCATCAACACAATATAAAAAGCTTAAAGGATTAAAAACAAAACGAGCAAAAAGAAACCGATGCAGCATTCTACAATTAAATAAATATAACATCCATGAATCAAAAATTCTGGAATGTTAGTATGAAATAATCTTTGCCCTTATAAGCAGAAATAATACAAACCCTTTTTCCAAAAGGTGGAACAGTTTCACCATGACATGCGTTTCATTCTTAAGTGTCTGATTAAGCAACACATGGCATGTTTGTCTGCACTTGAATAATCCAAATAGTGCTCCAAGCAAACACATAATAAAATGTAAGCAGTCATACAATGACAATTTGATGTCTAGGCTCTCCAGTCAATGGAGTAACCACAAGACAGACACTGGGGAAAATCCCTCCTTCAATGTAGTAAAAAAGAAAAGGTACTGCTGACAATTTACAATATACTGCATCTGTCAATTAAGGGAATGGTTCACTCAAATTTAAATTTGCTAAAAAAAACAAAAAACACTTAGCCTCAGGCCATCCAAGATGTAGAGGAGTTCATCAGAATAGATTTGGAGAAATGTAGCATTATATCACTTGCTCACCAATGGATCCTCTGCAGTGAATGGGTGCCGTCAGAATGAGAGTCCAAACAGCTGATAAAAACATCACAATAATCCACCACATAATAGACTCTAGCCTATCAATTAACGTCTTGTAAAGTGAAAAGCTGCATGTTTGTAATTAACAAATACATCAAGGTGACTTAAAAGTTGCTTACGGCAACCATAATATCGCTTTCTCCAGTTAAAAAGTCATTTTGTCTGAATCAGGAGAGAAATATGTACAGATCAAGCAACGTTTACAAGCGAGAACAGGCCAAAACATTTCCAAACTAATATGTTGCTTAATTTTGATGTAAGGGGACAATAGGGGATGGACTTACTCACAGGAAGGAAAGTTGTTTTGGTCAGATGTGACGGTTTGAAGTGGAACTGGAGTTGTGTGGATTACCTGTGGATTAAAGTGGTGTTTTTATCAGCTGTTTGGTCTCATTCTGATGGCACCCATTCACTGCAGAAGATCCATTGGTGAGCAAGTGAAGTGATGCTTAATTTCTCCAAATCTGTTCTGATGAAGAAACAAACTCATCTACATCTTGGATGACCGGAGAATGAGTAAATTCAAGCTAATTTTCATTTTTGGCTGAACTATTCCTTTAAGAACAATGATCTGACATTCAGATGTCATAAAATAAACAAATTATTTGGAAAAGAACCCATTTTGTAGCCGCTGAATTAAAAAAAAAAAAACACAAATTTCACATTACTGAAATAATTATTTAGCTCACCATTTGATGCATTTAATCTTCTGCAGGCCTCTAATGACCAGTCCAGTTTGTGTGAGGCACTGTAAAATCTCACTGGTCTACTAGTTTATCTCCCCTGATACCAGCCAAAAGTCGGTTGAGAACGCTCAGGGCTGAAGTTTAGTTTACTTTATTTTAAATGCACAAACACAAAAACATGTCCAAGAGGGAACCTGCTTGTTTTATTAGATTTTTTTTTCCATTTTTGTTAATGCATGTTGCACACTGTGACAGAACTTCAACAGAGGAAGGAGAAAAGAAACCGGAAAAACTGTTTCTGTGAAAATCCCTCAAAAGTTGTCAGCTGCCACCAGTTCAGTCCATCATAGAATGGTCCACCCGTCAACGGTCCTTGTACTGTCAGGTTTCCTTTGTCCCAGCCCTTTCCCCTCCCACTCTTATGACACACACCTCCCCACCAAACGTCCTTTTAAAGAAAATAAAAGAAGACAGGAAAAAAAAAAAAGATGGCAATGACACGGGGGCAAACTGCTAGTCACTATCACAATAGTGGAAATCAAATAAATGTTCCTCTGAGCTTAATAAAA